CTGCGCACATCGCAAGGAGCAGCCATGCGCACTGCAAGTCAGGGAGCTGGGGCAGTTGGTGCAGGAGCTTTTGTTCCGTCCGCATTGGTTGCTGAGCCCACGCGGTCACGAACTCTGGGTGGCCGACAGGGGTGCCCAGCACTAAAAGCCCGCGCTCGGCGATTGTCCCCACGCCAAACCCGGAGGGGGCCGCTTTCCGCAAGGCTTGTGTTGTCCCAAAGAATAGAGCGCAGGGGCTACTTGGAGGGTCGCTTCGGTTAGTAAGTGGTTAGACCGGTTGATGCAGGTATCTTAAGTGTTGTAAGTGCACTTAGTAAATGGCATAAGTCGACTTAGTAAGTCCTTTAAGTCATGTAATTGGTGTGCTAAATGGTTATATGATTTAGTAAGTGGTTAGATTTCAATTAGTTTTGGGGATAAGTAGTTATGGGGTTATGTAAGTGATAGTCAACTACTTACAGCGGTTATCCTAAATCCACTTAAGCACTTATCTAAGTGAGGCCATGAAGACTTAGACGAGTTAGTTTAACCCACGTAACTGAGTTAGGTGGTTTGTTGTAAGTGACTTAGGACACTTAGACTAAGTCCACTTAACCCACTTAGGCATGGCCCTGTGATGTTGAAAAATGGTACAAAAAGTATAGCACCTATACAGCCCAAAACACTTCAAAATACTTTCCCCCCCCCCCCCCATGCATATATGTTAAAAATATATTCTGCAACATATGTATCAGCATCCGGGACAATTTATTATTTTCAGGCTATCCCCCCCTACACATATAAACATATTTCTATAACCAACGGAACCACCCGCTTCCTTCGCCCGCCTCGCTGCCGGGCTGGCCTCTTCAGCTGGCATCCGAAGAGGCCGGCTCTCTCTTTCAAGGGTTTGGGGGGCTGGGTGTTTTTTGCCGGGCTTCAATAGAGGATTCTGCAACAATGCAGATGTATCTCAAGTTCTGTTAGTTTTTTTGTGGGGTATGTTTTTTGCGAGGGGGATTTGAAAGTGCTGGTAGGGCTTCCGAGGGAGCATGTTCGAGAGCTGGCCTTGCACGTGCTAGATATACTGGTGTATTGGCTCGGTTTGTGTACTGTATTTCTATATGTATCGTTTCATGGTTCGGGCAGTTTTTCTGTTCGTTTTCGGTGCACCTTTTGTTTTTACACTTGTGCTGTCTCATTTGCTTTTTGTGTTGGGCTACCTGTTTGGCTTTGGTTGGGGAACGATGGTTCATGTCATGCTCATTGTTTTATAGTAGTTTGACTTTGCAGGGCATCTGCTCGCGAAGTCTGATCCTGCAGGGCGTTGCTCGCAGGATCCATAGGACGACTTACTTTCAGGCCGTGTGCTTCTTTGCTGCAACCAAAGCAACAGCATGGCTGGCATCACCGCAGAGGTGCAAAAAGTGATCGAGGGCTACTTGGCCAAAGCGAAAGGGGGCACACTGGTGCAGAGTGTCAACAGTTTGCACGACTTCCTGTTGAAGCAGAAGTTGGCCTGGAAACTCAAGCTGTCTTGCGAGTTTATCGGGGTCCATCCCGAAAATAGGGATGGACTCGGTATCTCTGCGAGTCACGTGGCTGACTTGATCAGCAACATCTCGAGCATCGGGTTCAGTGCCGCAGAAAGCAGGGCTATCTGCATCGAAATTCCTGACGACAGTCGCGGCAATGCCTGCCGAGACTTTAACCGTCGCTTGGCGGAAGAAGCTCAGGGCAAGCTGGCACCTGTGGATCCTTCGATCCTCAAGTTCGCCAGCATCGTGGGCAGCCATGCCAATCAGGCTGGCCGGTGTTTTTGGTACGGAGTGCCACACCCTGACGAGAGGGTGACCATCAGCGGGAAGCTTAGCCTTGAGAAGCTGGCCACGGTCGATGCTTCCTGGTGCTCTGCCATCCGTGAAGGCCTTGAGTGGATGGTCGTTTCCGCTCAGGTCGTGGATTGCTTCCCCGAGTACGTGGGGCTCGCTCAATCTGCCGGGAATGCTTCCGGCCAGATAGCTTCCGCCGAAGGGGAGCTGCAGCTGGCACGGAAGGTCAATCTGGCCATCGCCGACTTCCTTGCTCGGGGCGGGAAGGACACGATCAACTACACCGACATTTCGGCCGGCATTTTGAGATCCAAGCCGCCATCGGCAAGTGCTTTGCCTGGCATCTACACATTCGTACTTCGGTACGGTGGTGGAGCTGGACCAGACTCTTTCCTCAGTAGGAGCGAGACCTTCATCAGGGCCCACGGCTTCGCTGCCCGATGCTTGGGTTCGGAGTTTTGGCAAGCGATGGGAGCCGAGATCAAAGGTGCCGCAAATCAGAGGGTGATTTGGAGGCACATGCTGTTGAAACTGGCGTTTTGCGGCCCCGAGAAGCTGCTGAGCCTGGCCGACCTCCGGCGAGCCTTGTCGGCGAAGGACATCCTCGCCAAAGCCGACGAAGCAGAGAAACTCGCCAACAGGATGAAGCAACTTCTCAGCTCCGACCCCCGACTCACACCCGAAGTCGTGGCAGCAACCCTCTCGGAAGTGGAGATGGAACTGGTAGCAGTGAGCTTCCAGAAGAAGAAATTCACAACCAGGGTGTCCCTCCAGCAGGTTTGCCATGAGTGTCTTCAGGGGCTTGGCCTGGTCTCGCCGTTTGCACCCGCCCCGGCAACCACGTCGCCTGCGACCTCGCCCGCCAAGGATGCTTCCCCCGGTTCGTGCACTGGCTGCATGTGGAGATTTGGCATTGTCATATAGGATCGGCTTTGGCATATAAATATGTATATATATATATATACATATTTATCCTATATATGGGGTATATTGCCTGTTATACAGGAATACATTTCCCAAAGATCGCAGGCATGACACCTTGATAAGCTATTGTTTTTGACTACTGCTCTTCCAAAGCGCTGAAACTTGTGATAAGCTGTACTCAAGTTTTGCCCAGACATATATAGTCTCGAGAAACCGTTTTTGCCTACATACAGTCGGTTCCAAAGCATATAAGGCCTTGATGAACTTTGTTTTGCTGCACACAACCAATTCGCAGGCACAGAGCCTTCATGAGCCAGTCTTTTGTAGTGCAAATGCAACCTCGTGCCAAGCCTATATACTGTTCTTATAGTAAGAGTCTATACAATCACCAATTCGAACCCAAGCCTCTATGAAGTTTGTTTTGTTGATAAGCCGTTGTCTTTCAGCATCCAAAAACTTGCCGAACTAAAGGCTTGATAAGCCATTCGTTTTTAGTACAGGCATATAACTTCTTCACATAAGCCATCCTTCTTTAGTACACAGCCTCTTCCCGAGCGATAATTGCTTGATAAGCCATGTTGTTTTAGTACCGGGCTTTTTTTAAGGTTTCTGTACTGCTTAGAAGGCAAGCTCGTCAGAGCCATAAATTCTTCAGAGCCCACCTTATACTTTTGGATAAGCTATCTTGTTGTATTGAAGGGTGCCTTCCAAGCCAGGAATCACGGAAAATGTTGTGTGAAACCAAGGGCTCTTTTCAGCAGGTTGTACATATGTACGACATTTGTACTTTCGTGAGTATAGAGATGTGCATTCCAGGGCCCTTCGGAAGTACGATGATGTGGGGGCACCGGTGAACAATGCTCGTGTCCTCGAGCTGGGATTCGAGAAGGGGGTGCAGGTTATCCGAAAAGCGGATGACGTGGTGGCTGTGATCGAAGAGATCCTCCCGGACAAAGTCATCTTGCAGCTCGCCAGCGACGGCTCCCGTGTCACCTCCTCGGCGACAGCATTTATCGACGGCAAATGGAAAAAGCATTCAGAGAAAGCCCAGCCAACCGAGCTGGAGCAGTGGTGGTCGTCTTCCCCATCCGCCTCCCCTGAGTTTCTGGCCGCCACGATCAAGGGCCGGGTCCTGTTGGCAATGTTGCAACAGTGGGAGGGCTTCAAGCACGAGCAGAGCTTGCAAGTGTTTTCGAAGCCGAAGGATGTGAAGTCGCTGAAGGCATTCGCTGTTGGTACCCTCGCAGTGCCTGTCACCACGAGTCGTGTGGACATCCGCCCCAGTGCCCAAGCCGGCTTGCAGGGTGCCATCATGATTGGAAGCATGAAAGGTGCAGGGCCGGATATGGCCGTTTACATCCTCCCAACGGTGTCCTTTCCGAAGGACAGCAACATCGGCTTCGTGTCCCCTGCTTGGATCATGAAGGCGAGCTGCGACAGAGACGAGTGCAACGTCGAGCTTGTTGGCCCCAACAAGAATTGGAACAAGCAAAAGCTGGAGAAGCTGACCGCAGCGATCCACTTGCCGTCTCTCAAAAACTTCCGCAAGATCGAAGCCGAGGACTCCTTGATCCTCTACAGGCCAGATTTGGCGAAAGCGGATGACATCGAGAAGCTCCAGCCCGTGAACCCTTCCGCCCCTGCCCCTAAGAAGAAGGCCAGGACCAGCTGAGCCCCGGAGGCTGCGACGGCTCCCCATGCAGATTTGATGAAGGATCCTGAGATATGTGCTACATAGACATGCACAAAGACAGCCATTCACACGATTTCGTGCATACACTGTTGAATGGTTTGTGAGTTTCCATTACCAAACAACATGCATGGCACAGGTATTCATGTCCAGAGTCGGTTTTAAGACTTTTCTTGGGATCTTATATATGTAGTATGTAATATATCCATCGTTCCATTTATGTCTTATATATGTATATACATATAGACGACGTGGGGCAGCATCAGGAAGTGTTCGTGATGTAGGGGTGTCACCGTGGCACCCGATTTTGCATTGATTCTGTGAAGCCGCATCGTGCGAGGCTTGTCGCATGCTGAAATGAAGCTTGTTGCCATTGCTTGCAGTCTATATGTCTGGGTGCAGGATGTCTGTGGCAGCATGAAGTGGCATGTATAGCCACGCATTGGCGCTTTTTTGCTGTGTGCCTCCTTCAAGGCTTAGAAGCATCGTATAGCAATCTTAGGCTTGCAGGGCTTCGCTCGCAAGCCGGTGTTCGCAGGGCATTGGCTCGCGACACCATGTCCGATGATGAGCAGATGGCTCCTGCAGAGGATGCCGAGGCTCCAAATGCGGAAATACCGATCTCCATCCTGAAAGTCACGTGCATCAAAGGGCCACACCTGAAGCAGCCTTGGCTCCCGGATGTGCAAACGGTCGGTGGTGTGGAGTATATCAAACTTCACAAATGGGATCGGGATCTCACCCTCTTCTCGACCGGAACACCGCTGAACTTCGCTGCCACAGGCAGGCGGCCAGCTCACAACATAAATGTGCAGTGGTTCGAGGATACCAAAAGGCTTCGGCGGGAAGCTTGCGATGCCGCCGTCAGGAAGATCATCGCAGATGCAGCCGAGGCGGAGGGCAAGCCGGTGCCCCCGAGAATCAGACCGGCCCGGGAAGAGGACCAATTTCTTGTCGGCAAGACGGTGATGCTCGATTGCCCGGACATTCTTGACCAGCACGATCAGGTCCATGTCAAGAGCTCCGAAAGCAAACTTATACAAGCCTGAAACAGTTTCGAGTGGTATACCCCTTGAAGAGATGTTCCCTGTTGGTGTATACTTGGTTTGAAATTAACTAAATGCAGAGATATAGGTATATATGCGGCACAAACCTAGCTAAACTGCTTATACTTGGGCCCTTTACAACAGGTCTTGCAGCCGGCCAGGCAAATCCAGTTTCTCTGGGGCACGACAAGCGACTTGTTCATGGAACTGAATGAAGACAACCTCGCCTACATTCGTTGTGCCATCAAGGAATCCGCCCCTTTCATCCAGCAGCCCAGCAAAAGGAGGTCTAAGTTACAAGGGAGCCCGAAGCGGTTGAGGAAGCGGGGTAGAAAGCCAAAGGCTGATGAAGTAGCACCCGAAGCAGCCCTTGCTGGGGAAGGTGGCCAGCAAGAGGAAGATGATGCAGAGTATGATGATGATTGATGAGCCGGCACGATGCAAAATGGACCCATGCATTCCTGGATTGTTAGGGGTTTAGGGGTTTAGGGGTTATAGGGGTTTATAGGGTTTAGGTTTAGGGTTTAGGGGTTTCGGGATTTAGGGGTTTAGGGGTTTAGGGTTTAGGGGTTTGGTGGCATATATGCTGTGCGGGCAACAATGTATAGGACTTTTGTGGGCATGCAGGGATATATGCACTTTATAGGTGCAGACTTTCCATTCAGTCGGACCTGTATAATCGTGGCAGGAATCCTTCTGTTGCTGTCGCTGCGAGCCTCTCCCCTTTTTGAAGAATCGTTTTCTTGGATATCATATATAGTTGTCCTTTACTCTCCTTGTGTATATGTTGAGAGTGAGCATATAACAACCCGAGTAGGTTTGCTGTGTGTGCACAGGCCGCATGTTGCAGCTGTCATGCATGTTCTGAACACGTCGTCTGCTTCGGCATGTGCACCTGAATGCAGAAGCCAGTCTGGGAGTGCACATGAGGAACTTGAGTGTTGGACCGGCGGCCGTTTCTTGCACGAGCCTTTGTTTGAGGGCCTCGCTTGGCTTCATTGTGGAGCTTTGCACCATGTCTCAAAAGAGGCTTCGCGATGATGGTGTGATGAAGATGGAGGAGGACCCAACCGGGTCTTCGGCCGTGGAGGATGCCTATTGGTTGACGGGCGACGATGGCTACGACTGGTGGGACGAGGCGGTCATGAAAGACGAGCTGCAGGAGGAGGCGGAGCAAGAAGAAGTGCAGCTGGAGGAGGAGCCGGTGGCAGCGGCACCAGTGCCGACGGCACCGGTGGCACCGGCAGAGCCGCCTTTGCCGCCGCCGCCGGGGCCGCCGCCGAGTGATGGCCGTGGTGGTGGTGGACAGAAGGGCCATGGCTTCCAGATGGGAAGCAAGGGCTTCTACAAAGGGTATGGCGGCGGGAACAACAAGAAGACCGGCCAGTGGCACCACAAGCAGCCCAAGTACCCCAAGTACGAGCACCAGTATGACTATGCCTACGACACCAAGTGGAAGGGTTCCAGCTACTACAAGCACGACTCCAGCTACCCCAAGTACGACTCCAAGTATGGAAAGAAGGAGTGGAAGGACGGCTGGAAGGACGACCGGAAGGCCGAGCAGAAGGGCAAGCCGAAGGAGGAGCCTGGCTCGTCGGCCGGATGGTACGTGGATGGCGGCTGGGTGTCGCCGAAAGGCGACTTCCACCAGAGACTGGGTTTACATAGCAAGCTGTAGCTTTTCCTTGGCATTTCTGATAAGAGCTAGGGCTTTTCTTTGGGATATGTGGGAAACCGAAACCAAGCCTCGATTATGCAGCCCATGTGCCCTGCATGTATATCTGTATATATCTATCTATCTATACATATATCATATGTACGTATAAGCCCTACATACATAGACCCTGGTGTATAGAGTACTTATATGCGAGCATTAACATAAACCTGTGTATTGAACAACCCAGGAAGGGGCAGGGCAGAGATCGCCCACGAGTGCGAGCAGGCAAGACTATCCAGCACCAGCGGGAGAACCAGGACATCGGATCCACGAACAAGCTAAACCCAAAACCCTATCTAAACCCTAGAAACCCTAAACCCTGACCAGGACATCCGAGCCACGAACAAGGCCTTGGTTGAGAGTGCTGCCGTGTACCAGCAGCACATGGGGCAGGCTCTTGACACAATGAGCAGGTTGACCCGCATGCTAGAGGTCGACAGGACGTGAGGGGTGCCATGCATGCAGGGTGCAATATAGGCATTCATGTCGGCCCTTGAAGCTAGTGTAGCCACTGAGAGTCAATAAGAAACCCAAAGCCCAAAACCCAAACCCTGTGTTTTGAAGCCCTCAACCCTGCCAGTGAACTTTAATCCTATATAAAGCTACATGCATAGACTCCTATATGTATTTGTGGGTTAGAAAAAATACATATATATATAATCTAGACATATTCTATAAACCCTTCATATCTTACATAAGCCAAGATAGAAAGCTTAAATGTTAACTCCATGAAGCCAGTTCCTAGCTTCCTTTAACTAAGAAAAGAGATGTTCTCTTCTATTCGAAGCAATACCAAAACCCCTTTGTATTCGCCCGAAACCAATCTAAATCTTCCACATACATACACCTACCTCACACTGGGACTTTTCCTGGTGCATGCACCCAAGCGACCTCTCGTTTGACCATGTTCGCAGCTGGATGTCTGTTTGGCGGTGGGTGTTGCAGCGACAGCCTCCGAAGTGATAAATTCGTGATTCATAAAACATGCACTTAGACCACTGGCTTCATGCTGCAGCTCTCGATGCCATAATCGGTGATGAGCCTGTTTGCATCTCGTGGGCATGCCTTGTGGTGCCGGAACAGATACAGCCGAATAGCCCAAACCCCAGCAACTTCTAGAACACCTCCACCCGAAAGTGACTAAAGCCTGCAGCCGTAAACCTGAAGATAGTCTTTCAGTTACATTAGGAGATCTGTTCCGGTATACCCAGCAGGGCCAGAGCCCCGGCTCGCTCATGCTCCGGGGCTGCATGGTGTAGAGGCCTTGATATAGTGGCATGGAACATATAGTCGGGGTCATACATAGGCAACTGCAGCTAGAGCCTCTGATTTTAAAGCGGCCTGTCACGGAGCTGGGAATATGAGACCGGCATAGGATCGGTCGCACATGTCACCCATAGAAACAGCATGCAGGTGTGTACAGGGACCTTGCATCGCCCGGGATGTTGTTTTAGGTGGGGTAGATATATATATTGTGTATATATATATATACATATGCATATATGTAAATAGACCGAATAGATTATTGTATTTGTGGGCAACACATAGAGTACTATAGGGGGTGCATGCAAGGTCCGGGCTCCTGCTTAACCAGCTTGCACGTCTTGGAACTGAGGAGTGGAAAGGTGTTGAGACAGTGTGGCAGTTCTCCGTTTGTGTGGACCATGCAGGCATACCTTAGAAGCTGCCCCCACACTGTAATAGTGAAATAGGAATATATATATAGGGCCCTATAGTATAATATAATCCTATATAATCCTTATAGTCACCATTACAGGATGGGGGCAGCTTCTAAGGCATACCATATATGAGGCACGTGGACGTTGCACGAGGCATGCAGGTATCCAGCAAGTGATGCAGTCGGCGAGCACTCCCAGCCTGGAGCCACCAAGCCACAGCCCCCTAACCCTATAAACCCTAAACCCTATATAAACCCTAAACCCAACACCCTATAAACCCTAAACCCAAAACCCTATAAACCTTAGAAACCCCAAACCCTAAACCCCAGGCTTAAGTCAAGCACCCGGGAACCAAGCCGATGTAAACAAACACAGAAGCAAAGAAAACATAGGCTGGCCTCTAGGATTGTCGGGTATGTGTTGTTGGTTGGGAAAAGTAAAGGGTCGATTCTGGAAGGCAGCAGTGCAGCTATGTAGGCATGCAGGATGGCGAGTAGACTTGTTGCATGAAGCCAGGAAGCCATGCAGGAAAGCAACAAAGCAGGTGTGGAGGCAAGCTTTGCTGTCGGTATAGAGTGCTGCACCGTGTCGCATAATTTGCACCGGCCCCCCCCCCCCCAGAAAGGTCCTCCAACAGGTGTCCGAAAGCATGAACGGAAAAAAAAAACAGAAGCCAAACATAGGCAGGGGTCGAGGATTTCATGCTGGGTTGGCCGGTTCGTGGCCTTTCGAGCAGGTTTTCGAGGCCCGAGACAAAAAAACCAAAAAAAAAATCGGCGAGAGTTTCCCCAGGGCTAAAGCCCAAAGGTGGTGGTGTAGAACAGCAGCTTTATCGATCGATAAACTTGCACGTGGACACTTTATCGTTCGATAAACTTGCAGGGGTGCAACTTTATCGAACGATAAACTTGCAATGGCCCCCATCTTAAAAGTTTATGTTTCGATAAGCCTGCGGGTCGCAGGTTTATCGATCGATAAACCTGCGACCCGCAGGTTTATCGATCGATAAACCTGTCCCCGGGATGGTATGTAGGAAACCTTGTCTTTTGTGTATCTCCGTTCCAACTATGTGACCCACCCACCAGCAGCAGCACCACCACCACCAGCACCGCCAGCACCACCACCTGCACCACAGCCGCCACCGCCACCACCCCATTGCTGCACCACCAACACCGCCACCACCAGCACCAGCACCAGCACCAGCACCACCGCCGGCACCACCAGCACCACCGGCCACGAGCACAACCAGCAACAACAGCACCGACCACCACCACAACCACTGCCACAGCCACCACCAACAGCAGCACCGCCACAACCGCCGCCACCGCCTGCTGCACTCTCTCTCTCTCTCCCTCGTGTTTGTTTTTGTGCTCTCTCTCGATCAGCGAAGAACATGCATTCGGTGGTTTTCCTGCAGTGTGTCTGTGTGTGTGTGTGTGGGGAATTGCTGGCACCACTGGCTTATCGTCTGTGAAGAAGAAGAAAGCACCATCGATTCATGAGTTGTGCTTGCCTCGACTGGTGTTTCGTATAGTCCTTTGGTGTCAAGCAAAACTTTTGGTTGCAGCCTTTCGCCCCGGTCATCATGGCCCGCCGTTTCGATTCGGAGATCTCTGTGGACGTTCGAGTCAACATCGACGGTAGCGACACTGCAGTGATGACAGCCACTGGCAGCCAGACTCTGTCCTCCATCCTCAATACCGCAGCATTGACTTGCGAAGGCGAGCAGGGCTACGATACCTATGTGGTTCGAGGTCTGAGCATCAAGCTGCAAAGGGTCGGAGTGAGGGCCACGTACGAGACCACACTAGAAGATCAGGCCTTGCTCAACATGAGACGGGTTCTCATGCACGTGCGGCAGGGACGTTTTGCCAAGTCCTTCGCCAAATGGCGAAAACAGCAAGGCAGTTGATGCTGCCGTGCAACCTGCGGTCTCCAGCCCGCCTAAGCTGGGCCTTGACCGAAGCTTCAGTCGACTTGCTGTGTGTGCGAAACCACGTCGGATCGACCCTGTGCTCTTGCATAGCAGT